ACCACATATTCTGAAACACACACACACACACACACACACACAATGTACTTTTCTTCTACCACATATTCTGAAACACTTTTTGCCAAGTTTTAAATGACTTGAGGGATGGAATTTCCATTGTTTGCTGTGGAGAAACCATCCCACATTTTAGCAGACATCATTATATCAAAGAAGCTGCTGTTGATATTCAGCCTAAATTTTCCTTTTGGTTCAGTGCTTCCTGTCTTCCTATCCTAGACCACCCTTCTTGTTAATGCTTGGTTACATTTGTTTGCTTATAAGCAATGTACAAATACATGTTAATAAATTGTCTTTACAGACTAACATCTTATGGGAATTGTGACACAACTGGGTCTTTATAAGGAAATTAAAGAAGGAAAAGATAGCAGCTTTGCTGATCAGCCCAGAAAGGGTGTAGCTCTCAAAAGTGCGGAGATGACTGTAAGGGAGCAGAAAAATATAGCACCACTGCTGGCATTATTGGCTGAGTGAAGTTAGATACAGTTGCACCTGCGTGTGGTAACAGCAGTAGAAAAGAGTGAATCAGTGGGCACATCTACATTTAATATTAGTGTGATGCAACAAACTCCAGCACAGTGTATGCCAGAATTTATTGCCCTTGGGTGCCCGGGACTGCAGCACGTTTTGCTGGGGCAGAGCAGCCCTGGCTGGCAGGGGGCCTCAGGGGTCAGCCTGCCAGCCTGGGGCTACTTTGACCCAGCTCAACGTGCTGCAGAGAGACTGGGCAGCCCTCACACTGTGGCACCCTTGTGCCCCAGCCAGCCCCATCAGTGTCTAAACATGTGCAGTGGCATACTAAATAATAGGTCTGTGCAAAGCAGCAAGTATTTAATTCGGATTCAGCCAATTCGGAGAGACAGTGATTCAATTTGGTGATTTAAATTACTGTCCCAATTCGATTCGGCTGATTCGGATCCCCAGATTCAGTGCCAATTTGGAGATTTGGCCCTAGACCAGGCTTGTCCAACATACGGCCCACCAAGCCATTTTCCGAGGCCTGAGGTCCCTTGCTCGGGACAGTCAGGTGGGGGAGGGGAGCTGCTCACGCCTGCGGGGCTGGGCTTGTCACGTGAGCTGGTTCCTGCCGCCACCCCGAGGGCTACATGGCGCCTGGCTACCCCAGCCACGCCTGACAGGATAAGCTGGGGACAGTGCCTGCTTTTACTTCTCTCCGGCTCAGCCCCTTGCCCCCCGCATCCCGCCCACCTCCCGGGACCCACTGGGCTTGGCAGCTGTGGGGCGGGAACAGGGTGTGGTGCCTGGAGCAGGGAGTCAGCAGGGCAGCCCCGGGGGGGGACCTAGGCAGGTGGGGTCCTGGCGTGACCTCTGTGGGGTGAGGCGGCAGGAGCCGGTGTCTGCCGGACCCCGCGCTCCGGGCTCGCAGTGCTGAGGCCACCGGGCACCATGGTGAGCAGGGCTGTGCATGCAGGCGGGTGAGGGGCTACAGTGCAGTGGCCGTCTCGCTCTGGCCCCCCTTGGGCAGCGCCGGTTTGTGAGGCTGCGCTGCTCGGGGGGTGGGGATGTGGAGCTATTTATTTCTTCCCCACCAGCAGCTACCATGAACCTTGTAGTAACAGGCAGGTGCAGCAGGGCTGCACAGGAAGGGTCTCTCTGGCCCAGGACAGAGGGTGTTTGAATATGGCTTGCCAGCCCACTGGGTGATAAAAAGTTCATGATCCGGCCCCAGATTCAAAAAGGTTGGACACCCCTGCCCTAGACTATACAGCAGGGGTGGGCAAAATGCAGCCTGTGGGCTGGATGTGGCCCACCAGGCCGTTCTATCCGGCTCTGTGGGGCCCCTAAAAAAATTAGAAAATTAAGTTATCTGCCTCTGGCTGCCTGTCATGTGGCCCTCAATGGCTTGCCAAAACTCAGTAAGTGGCCCTCCGCTCGAAATAATTGCCCACCCCTGCAACACAGGCAGCAGTCCTCCACGACACTGGATGCAGCTACCTCCACCTGGTAAGTCTTGTGGTGGCTGGAGGGGGAAGGGAAGGGGCATGGGGGCGCAGATCAATGCCCCCACAGTGAGGGAGGGATTGGGGCTGGGAGAAGCTGCCCAGCTGGGGCAGGGGGGGCACAGGACTCAGGGAGGAGGGATCCCACCACTGCGTGCTGCTGCACACTGCCAGTCTGGGAGGGTATGGGAGTGAGCGTGTGCTCCTGGATCTGCGTGGGACAGGGTGGCCTGGACTGCGGTCTGGATGGGTGGCAGAAGCTGCTGGGAGTGGGGGTTATGCCCTCCTGCTGTTTCCCCAGCCTCCCTGTGCCTCCTAGACAAGCCATGGCTTTGCCCCAGTTGGGTGAGCAGCAGCAGGGCATGGGGGCGGGCATGTGCACCCGGATCGGGGCTGGGCTGATGGCAGGGGCTATGGGGAATTTTAGGGTGGCTACAGCACCCCCATAACCTCCACTCCACTGTGCTGTGTGGGGGTGGGGCACAGCCAGGGCTGCACTCCAGGTTGCAACTGGAGCTAGCCACCCACAGTGCAGCCCTGGCTCCACCCGCCCCACAGACTGCAGCCTGGCAGCAGGCAGCTGGGGCTAGCCTCCCGAAGCGCAGCTTGACCCAGCCCACCCCACGCAGATCTGGGGGCACACGCCTGCTCCCATGCCCTTCCAGATTGGTGGTGAGGGCTGCCAGAAGAGGAGGTCCCGGAACGGCGGTGCACAGCAGCGCACAGTGGCAGGACCCCCCTCCCCGAGTCCTGTGACCCCCCCACCCCGGCTGGGCAGCTTGCCTCAGCCTCAACCCCAATCCCTCCCTCACTGTGGGGGCATTGATATGCGCCCACCCAACCCCCCTTCCCTCCCTCATATGCTCACCACAACAGATTTATCAGCTGGAGGCAGCTGTGTCCAGTGTTGTGGAGGACTGCTGCCTGTATAATCTATGGCTGAATCTCTGAATTGGCGCTGAATCTCCCCGAATCGATTCGGAGGCTTCTGATTAGATTCAAACCTTTTAACAGGTCTCCCAATTCGGATTTGGAGATTTGGCTGCTGAATTAAGCCAAATCTCCTCTGAACTGAATTGGCTACTGAAGCGTCACACAGCCCTACTAAATAACACCGCCACAGGATAGTACTTTTGTTTACAAGTACTAGTCTATGGTGGCATTTATTAGTTTACTGTGGCCTAACAGGGCCACACATGTAGGTGCCGATACTTTACTGTGGAGCTGATTAGTCAGCTCCACAGTAAACATCTCATTTATATGTGCCCAGTGAGAACCAAGATCAGATAAGGGGTATCGAAACAAGGAGTCTGAATTTCATCTAGTTGATACTGAATCAACTGTACAGATCTGCTCTCTCATTTCAGCATTTATACTCCTCTGATACTTGTAAGCAGTTATGATAGCTCAGTTTAGTTATACATTCAATTTTTTTTACCATTTCTCTATTAGTTGCTCCCTTCAGTTCCTTAATTATTTCTGTGGCTGTGAGTTTCATCCAATATTTCTAGATCTTACTGGGCCCAAATCTTTCTGCCGTAGATTAGGCAAGTATGTGCTTGATTGCAACTGGGACCCAAGGTTAGCAGCAACAGCCTGATGGTTTATATGACAAGCTGGAAGTTCATTGGTAGATGCAGGTATGTTGAGAATGTAATATCTCAAGAATGGAGATGTTTACCTAGTTAAAATTGGAAATGAAAGGTATAATCAATGAAAGACCCACATTATTTATTTTTGTATTGAGTTCAGTTATTTTAAATTTATTATATGCTTTCCATTTTCTGTGCGAGCTGAAGATTTCTGCAGCAGCATTACAGATATTAGTGAATAGATGAGATTTTTAAAAATTATGTGGGAAACATTTGGGACTTTTGGGTATCTTGGCTGCGGACAGGGGTTGGGAGTTGCAAAAGTTGAGCTAAAAGTGAAAGGTTATGTATCCATTACTAATCCTCTGAGCCAGCCAGTGCTTCCCTGGCATTTGTATGGTATTCAGCATCCTGTCATTTTGTGGTCCAGCATTTCATCTCGTCTTCCTGTTTGATCGCTATGTCCACAACAGTGATCATTGTGGTATTCTAAAACAAAGCATTCATCTGATAAAATACATTTTATCTCAGCAGTTTGACCATGTAAAAATATCACATTCCAAGCAAAGGAAAACACCATCCTTTATTGTGATAAACTCAATATCAGATTAAGATAAATGTTTCCTATTAAATAGCAACCACTGTATGTTCATTCACGATTCTCTGCTCTCCAGCAGCTGTCAAATTTTGTCAGCTTGAGCCACCAGCTGAACATATTTGGCACCAAAGCTGAATATTATTTGCTTGGTACTCTCATTTTATTTTTCAGTATCCCCCAACATTCACTATCCCTTTCTTATGCCAAGAAATTAGCCTGTGTATGGGCACCTTATTTACGTCACTGAGTGGGGATTTTGGTGGTGAGTCTTCTTCTGCATTTGTGAAATTATGACCAAATTATACTAACACACTGCTTTAAATCTAGAATTGGTACATACATCCTTTGTATGTAAAACAGTGCAACTAAAAACAGAATTTGGCCACTGGACAGCAGGAATTCTTACAGCAGAATTTCAGACTCAGTTTTACAATGGACTTAGTTTCACTGGCAAAGTATTTTGATCAGACTAGCACTTCTTTGACATGGCTGAATCTAGAACATTGGTTTTTTAACTTAATTTCCATGAAACCATGTTATGTTATTTCTCCAAGCATAAATGGGTGGTGACTAAGATATTCCTTAAGGTGATTGTCAGAGTTGGACCCTATCAAAGGCATCCATTCTGAAGTTTAGTCTAAATCTCTACAAGTCAGAATTAGATGCAATTCCCATTTTTTCTTAAGTGTACTTGCTATATTAACACTAAACATAGCTGACTATCCAATTCAAGTTAGATCTGCCTGATGTTAGTTGCAAAGGCTTGAGGATATGTAGTCACAATCCCCAGCCAAGCAAAATAATCAGTTATGAAACAAAATACATGTTTAATGATGTCCAGAGGATAAGACTAACTGGAGCATACATTATTGATTAAAGAGAGAGGTCCTTCCCACTTCTGTCTCTCTTCTAGTGAATATCATAAACATGGATTTATTACTGGCGAAACTCTCACAGAAAATCTTCTGTTCAACTTTTATAGTGTTAACCTATTACTGCAACAGAAAAACTAGCATCAAAAGGGCATTAAGCTCTCTATATGAAGTACAAATAACTTCTATATCTTTTAGATCAGCAAGGGCCAACCTTTTTGGCAAGTGGGCATCTGCCACAAATTAGCCTTTCACCTTTCTCATGTGCTGCTCTGATCCCTTCCTCTGCCCCATCTGCTACTCTGCTTCCTAATTTGTGTCCCTATCTGGTCTCCTTCTCTGCTTTCTGCTTCCTGCTGTGGTTCTGTCTGCCAAGTGCCACAAACAGAGGCTGCCTGCCACTTACGGCACTTATGCTGCATACCCTGTTTTAGATCTTTCAGGGTAAACACAGTAACACAGTAACACCCTATGGTCATTTTATAGTAAGGAAGTGCTAGCTACCTATAGAATTCCAGTATAAAAATAATGTATCACGTTCCATGTAACAGAAACAATAACTGCCTGGTAAAGAGTTTTCGGTAACTGTGATTATTCCAACTATGAAAAATTTGCCATTTTGAAGAGAGAGATACGGTTAGAAAACACTTTCGCACTGTATTTACTGTATTTGCATTGTCTGCATACTAGTAGATACAGTACGAAAATCCCAGTTAGAAGGTAATGTTGTGTAATAGATTTAAATGGTAAATGTCAGGAGAAGTGGTTGTGCTAGATACACTTGTCCTAATGTAAAACATCACTTGAGGAAATTTCCAAAATATGAGATTACAATAATAGTGCTCTTAGTAGGTCATTGTGTTCACTTGTTTGTGAAGGTAAAGAACAGTCATTTTGTTAAAAATGATCTTCTAATTTATTACTGTAATTTCTTGGTTTTTGCCAAGTAATAACTTGGTTTTTGCCAAATTAACTCACAAAGTGTATTTCAGAGGGGACTGCTCTTGTGTGAATCATTAAAGGCAAAATACTTTTCTCTGTCACAAAATCGTTGCCTTAAATCGTTGGTTTAAAGTGAGTTGCCTGACCCCGTCAGTAACTGAATGTTTTTGACTATTGCTGGTGTTCGGTAACCCGGCCTCTTGTTTTGTAAAAGGTTCAGTGATTTGAATCATTCCCAGAGTCCAGGCAAAGAGACAACAATGACTGTATTAAACATACTATGCTCTCCTATATAAACAAAACCTGGCACCACCACATGTGCTATTTACACTTCATATTTAGCTCTACTTTCAAATGACCTTTTCCCCCTGCATCTCCATTTTTAAATGCATTTTCAGCCTGATGAGGCAAACCTGTATAAACATGGTTTGAATGAGTAATTATACTGCAATTAAAAGATTAGTTTGTATGGTAAAAGTAGAGATTGCTAATTGATTATATTCTGGTATTTTTCTTTGGTTTCTTAAATATTTCTTTTTATCTTTTTTATTTTGCTTTTTTACTCATAGTACATTATTCAAGAAAAAAGATTTTTATTGAATCAGAATTTTTGTTTACTTTTAGGCTGCTATTTTGATATAGTTGTTGATTTTTCAAGAGGAATTTCCCTCTAATTCCTTTCTATCAGTTAAATTAGATTAATCTCAACTAATCTGGTCTGACCCATGTAAGGACTCCTGGTTATGTATATGATCCATTATAGCCTGTGGGTGCTGTCTGTTGGTTTCTACCAGGGAAAAAAAATCTAAAATTATCTGCTCTATTGCTGGAATTTTCTTCTAGCCAGGATGGACATGTTGAATTGAAGGTTCTGTATTATGAAATAGATATGGACTTGACAGACGTTTTTATAGCAAATTCTGCCTGAAGCTGTTTAAACTACTCTACAAATATTAGAAGTAACCCCATTTTACAAATAAAGAAATCAAAGCTTGGGGTGTTTAAATAAATTACCCACAATAAAACAGTGGGGCCAATTCTCTCCTCTTGTGAGATACGTTGCTGTCACTGGATTCAGTTAATTGGCAGCTAAAGCAGTATTAGAAACTCACTGTGGGGTGCGGGGTGGAGCAACAGGAGGTGGGGGGAATGCACAAGGTCATACCAGGAGCAGTGCGGGGAGGGAGAAGAAGGTGGGCAGGGACACAGCGGTGCCATCCAGTGCCCCATGGTGCTGCTGTTCTGCCTCCAGCTCCATGCATGTCCCCCACATTTCCCCCTGCCCCCGCCCCATTCCCCCCCACACTGCTCCTGGTGCAGCCTTGTGTGGTCCCCCCACCCTCTGCCACTCCACCCTGCGCTGTCGACTCCCAGGAATGGGGGGGGAGGAGGCAAGTTTGCACATGGTGGCAGCCACCAACACCCGGCAGCATGCAACATGCCCCCCTCCATGCTTCCCCTCCCCCTCTCTGCCTGCTGTTGTTGGGGTGGCCAGTGGCAGCAGCAGTGTAAGCAGAGGGTGGGGGGTGCAGCAGCGGTGTGGGGATACTGCCACCAGAACACCCCATTCCCCTTCCCACTCCCCTCCCTCCCACTCTGCCCCCCTCTCACCTCCCCGTCCCTGCCAGCTGTTGGGGGGATGGCGCGGCTGCTCCCTCTGTCTATAACGATTCGGGCCCTTGCGGCCAATCAGGACACGCCCTCTTGGTAGTGCATGCAGAGTTGGCCCAGAGTGTTACAGACAAACAGATAGACAGACTAAGGCTTTTATTATATTAGAGTTTTCTCACATACAGCGTGCACTTTTCCCTCAAAAACCAGCTGCTGGAAATCATAGTGAGCATTATATGTAAGAAATAGAGCAAGGGCAGTTTCTACTGGTTATGGGAGAAAGTGAAAGCAATGTCTGCATGTAGTTACAGGGCGTTTATATACGTGCTCCACGAGTGGGGGGTGAGGTAGAGAGAGGGTGCTTTAATTAGGGCCGCTGAGAGCCACTTTAATTAAAGCACCCGCAGTTTCTCCTGTGTTAGCATCCCCGTGCTGAAAAAGTGTGGTAGAGGCTTTAATTAAAGCTCTTCGATCGCTGGAGTCTGCTGGAAACATGGTAATTATGACATGCTGTAGTTATGGCATGTTGGAGCAGCCTCACTGGACGTGTATAGGCACCCACAGGCAGCAGAACAATGAACAGGCTCTGCTTCCTAGCTGCTGCCTCTCAGTTACTACAAGGAAAGATTTTTTTTTCTTCATTCAAAAACAAAGGGTGCTGACACACTGGCAGCTGTCCAGTCTAATTCATGGTACTTCATAGAAAGTGCCATAAGTTAGCCAGACCCCCCTGCTGTTGGATCGGGAGGGTGGAGGACTGACCTCAACTTTGGAGCCAATCCAGCAGGAGAGGCTGTGTGTCTGCAGCCTCTTCCCCTAACTCCACCTCCGTACCAGCTCCAGTGCTGTCTCAGGATGGGAGGGGGAAAAGGCAGGGGAGGGAGGTCTGTTCTGGGCTTTGCCCAGACTTTGCTGGAGTTGGGGAGCAGGTGGATTGGAGTCTCCCTTAACTGGGGAACTCCAATCCACCCACCCCACCCAACCCCAGAAGGAACCCCCTCCTCT